ACACCGGTAAAAAGGAAAAAAAATTAAAAATAAAAAATGGACAAAGAATGTATTTTGTATAATACTTAGATGAAGATCTACGAAGACAAGCTTTGTTTACAATCTGTAGCTGAAGATCTATGAAAAAATATAGCAAAAGAAGACCAGAATCTATACAATGATCTCTTCCACAAGTTTGCAATTTGTAGCCGACCCTATGAGATAAGCATTCGAACCCTTAAGTCGTAAGCTTGAAAAAGATGAAATTTAGTTGTAGATGCTCATCCACTCCTTTCTTTGCTATATATTCTACAGAATTCCCAACAAATTTGTGAATTCTTGAAGTCCGTTCCCAGTAGAAGTCTCAAAAGCTTAATAGCTTATCCAAAATGTCGATAGTCTCCGGTATTATAACAATAAAAACCCAATTCAGTTTTTCTTGTACAATTTCTATATGTCAGACTGCAATAAGTTCATCAAATAATCTCAAATAAATTCATTTAATGGTCACTAATATCTCTCTCAAAATCATTCATATTATACCGTGCCTTCAAGTAAGAGTTACACTTAATTTCTTATAAAACAAATCATGTCTACCAGGACCTTGGGGTTGGATTCAAAATCCAAAACTGCCTACGATTCTACTTCTATGTTAGAAAATCATCCATAATACTACTAACCAAAGAAAATTTTGCAAGGTAATACCACAATGTTAAAAATCAATCCACAACTCTCAATAGATGACCAAGAATGCACTACTGACCATCCATCCTGAATACTTTTTTTATGTTCTGTTTAGTAGGAAGAATGAAAAGTAAGAGAAATACATTTTTTATCCTTTAAAGATGAAAAGTAGAAATAATATACTATCATTCCTTTGTGTTTGATTGGATGAATGGAAAATAAAAATAATCATTTTTTTTTCAATTTTTTTTGTCTAATATTAGAGGTAACAATCGAGTCGTGTCGTGTCAGATTCGTGTTGAGTCATAAAATTATGAGCCTTTATATTTCTTGTTCTCATGTCAGGTCATTTTCAAGTTTTTGTCGAGTTATAATCAAGTTCGTGTCATAAAATTCGTAGTCGAGTTCGAGTCGTGTCATCGTGTTGAGTCGAAAATTTTCACACTTACTTAAGATGAAAAAAATATTTTTTTTAATTTTAATTTTTAATTTTTTTAAATATATATATTATCATTGTATTTTTATATTAAATTAATGTATACATAATATATAGACAAATAAGATACATCTCAACACAAATAATTAACTTTCATCCACTTTCCTTCTGATTTTGGTGAGTTGGAAAGAAAGTTAATCCATCCACTTTTCCATCCTTCCTATTTTCCTTCCTTACCAAACATGATGTTTTATTTACTCCTCCAACTTTACATCTTTCCAACTTTTCATCTTTATATTTTTTCATCATACCAAACGGAGCATTAATCTCATGAATTTCAGTATTGCTCTATCCCCGTGATAAAGGACAATGTTACATGGACTTAAAAAGTAGATTTGAAAATTACAACCATTGATTTCATTGTGGATCTCAGTATTTATTGAGACTCATTACCTATTCAATTGTTAAGATTATCGAATCTAATTTTTAAGTCTAATTTTTAAGTCCATCTAACATTAGTCTATGATAACATATGAACAATAAGAACAATCCCAGCAGTAATGCAGCCCGTATGCAAATTGACTTAGCAAATTTTTTCATTCTCCTTATAACAAAATATTCATATGTGCTTGGCAAAAGAACCCCTTCCTCTTAATAGCGTCGTCCAAAAGAAATTGCTCGTTCTGCATTGCCTGAAACCAAAGAGAAAAACAATATAAGCATGAGTATTGTATTCATGGCTAGGAATTACAGTAAGTAATTATCTATCTACAGAGACATGAATTGAAGTTGCATTTTCTAAAATTTGTATAGCAAATTATAGAGGAATTAAAAAAATTACAAATTACTATGCAAGAGACTCTAAAAAATGTGACTTGCGATTGGTAATATCCAGTAGTTTCGCTCGGACCCTGCCAAACAATGATGCGTATTACGCAGTGGACAAGAAGCATCCGATCTGGGAGAAAATGAACTGAAACTTGGGCTTCTAATTTGGGGAAGGTAAAATATGTTTATTATGCAGTGGATGTCAATTTTGTGTAGTTCACAGTGTGTTGTGTGCGAAGAGCAAGAAACATCCTTGACAAAAAGATGTTGGTTTCAAGCATTATGCATCCTTAAACTGATCTATTACAGCGAGTGCATTCCTTGAAAAATCAATACAATAATACGATGGGTCCGATACAATCATACAACATTACAAATATATTGATTCTTTCGAGTCGTGACGATATTAAATTCAAAGTGACTTGCTCAAATTACACACTAGAACTTTTTCGACCCCCTTTATCATCTAAAAGATTGATAAAGAAGCTACAAGAAAATACATTATACTTCAGTAATTATTTAGGCTGATCAACAACATTATGCTCTTTGTGTTCAAAGTCTTGAGACATGCTTGGTAGTAGTAGTAGGAGGAGGAAGAGTCTCATTGTCACCATCCTCTACAGTCTCATCAAACCCAAGCTCAGCCAACACGTCAGCAAGCATAGTCTTCCTATTCTCACTGTACTACGTGTCCATCCCACTTCCTCAACACCAGCTCCTCCCCCAACTTCACCGCGGCCACCACCGTCTCCGCCGTGCTATCATGTGCCGAGTCAACAATTCCCATCTTAACCGCCACTTCAGCCCTCAACTTAGACGCCTTCAAAACCACCTCCCGCCATGCCGCTGGCGAGCCGGCCTTGCACTTTAACAAAGCCATGAACCAAACCGGAATTTTAACCCAATATCGAGCTCACTCACGTAGAGAAACCCTCGATCTTTGAGCATTAGATTGTAATCGTGGCTCACAGCCAAAACGAAGCCACGTAGGAATTCATAAATAATAAAATTAAAATCATTTAGAAAAATCCTTAATACAATAAAAAAGACTAAATAATTGAAATATGAAAATTTTAATGTGAGCACAAATAAAAAATATGTGTATAATTTTTAAAATATATAAATATAAGTGTATATATAATATATTTTTAAAAAAAATTGAGGTTGAGCACGTACCCATTCTTGCCCCTGTGTAGCTCCATCCATGGTCATTTTTTATCCTACTAAAAATTTGAATTTGCTCTTTTATGAATTTGAGTTTCTTCTTTGAAGTGTTTTATATTAAATCAAATTTTTTACTCAAATTTGAGTAAAAAATTTAAGTTAAGATCAGAGATATTCTAATATAGTTTCAGATAATAAGAAGTTAATGAGGACTAATGATGAGAAGCCATGTAAGCTTTTAAAAATTAAAAAAATCAAAAATCGNTGAAAAAATATAGCAAAAGAAGACCAGAATCTATACAATGATCTCTTCCACAAGTTTGCAATTTGTAGCCGACCCTATGAGATAAGCATTCGAACCCTTAAGTCGTAAGCTTGAAAAAGATGAAATTTACTTGTAGATGCTCATCCACTCCTTTCTTTGCTATATATTCTACAGAATTCCCAACAAATTTGTGAATTCTTGAAGTCCGTTCCCAGTAGAAGTCTCAAAAGCTTAATAGCTTATCCAAAATGTCGATAGTCTCCGNACGTAAGCTTAGAACTCATGTGAGAACCGATGCCAAGATGTCATGAAAGCTTTTAAAATTTAAAAAAAAATAAAAAATTTAGAATTTAGAGCCCATTCAGTACAACTACATTGCTATCCAAACATAGATGGCAAGAGTGGTATGCTAAATAGTAAATACCGAAAACGAGTAAATATTCGATGTAATGGTTGGTAAATAGTTTCTATTTTTTTAGATGATAGGTATTATTTTTTTTTTGTTTAACCTTTAAAGATGTTCGAGTTAATTTACGTGCACTTCGATTAATTCTCTTTCTAATTTGGTTAAAGAAAGATCATCTACGCTATGACTAAGATATTCACAAGTAGGTCTGACAATCGTGTCAAATGGAACGCTTCCGTGTCGGGTGAAACGGGTTTGTGTCAAAAAACTCTTTATCTATTCTCCATTCGTTTATATAAACGAATTCAACTATCACACCCATACACGAATTATTTATCAGACGAATTACCTGATATAACCAGTGTGTCACCTGTTAAATAAAAGAATAGGTTAGAGTATTTCAAATATACACGAAAAATCATCAACTTGCTACACATTACACATGTTTGACTTGTTTACTATAACAATAAATTATGACTGAGCAAAAAAATAAAGATAAAAAATAAACATTGAATGATTTCTAAATTTGAATAAGTATAAGAAATGAGAGGTGTGAGATGAGACAAATGTTGAAAGACCTAACTTTAAAAAAAATAAATTATAGCATAATTGTTAACGGGTGAAACGGGTTGAAACAAGTTTATGAGTTAAACACGAAACTGGTTCATTTATTTCATGGGTCTGCCGAGTTAACCCGTTAATTATCTGAACCCGTTAAAACTACACCAAACCCGCTAAATCCGTGTCGATTTCATGAGTCGTATCTAGAATTATCATGTTTATTCATGAGAGATAATTGTCTCATAACTTAATCTCAAGAGTTTGTTAATATTCAAATTCAAAACGTATAAGTTTATAGTTTATACTTACTGCTACTTGAGGTACCTCTTAGTGTTTACATGAGTTGGTTATTATATTATATGAATTGTGTAATTATCAAATTTTGTGAGACTCACTTTTATATGCGGTGGTTTATTATTTAATGATTGAGTAATGCTATAAAATATAAATAAAATTAAAAAAGTTGTAATGTAAATACATATCATTCGTTAGATGAATATGTCTCATTAATTTTTTTTGTGGCGTCCACTCATTTTGCACTTATCTAATAAATAATATGCATTTGAGTGTTAATTAGATTATATAGAATTTTCTTTGATGATTACCCTAAAAAAATATTATTATAGTGATGTAACTGTTATATTTAATATTTTCTTGAAACCTCACGATTTTCTATTATGGGCTGTTGGCCTGCCCAGCCCACCCTTATGTTTGACCTGAAAACTTCAGACGATCCTCATTCCATGGCAGTCCGAACCCAGAAGCAACCTGAAGCCACGTTCCCAGTTTTGTCCCTGGTTTTGCATACGGTGCCTACCCCAGTTCTCTCTCTCTCTCTCTTGAGAGATTACATCAGAACGTCGAACGGGGAGGTTTTCGCTGTGGAAGGTTATTTTTTGGGACAAAACAAAGCGTTCAACCTTAGGAATTCACGCTTTTTTTCACTGATCTGGTACCGGTACCCTCCGTTCTTGACATTTGATCAACAAAAGGTATGTGATCTCTCTGTTTTTCTAAATACGTTCTGTTAAAGATTGTTGAGGCACAGGCATCTGCGATTAAAGTTTAAGAATTGAGGCGTTTTGGATCCATTTTTGGTTAAGGGTCGTAAAACCCTTTTGTCGTTGAGATTAGAGTAAAACCCAGTTGTGATTTTGTGTCTCTGTTTTCTCCATAGATCTTGTTATGAAGTCCGACTTAAAGTGTGAAGAATAAGCAAAAAGTGTATCAATTGATCGCATAGCGGAGTGGATATCGCGTTAGACTCCGAATCTAAAGGTCGTGGGTTCGAATCCCACTGTGATCGCCTTCAATTGTTTTTGTTTTTTGTCCTTTTTTTTTTCTGTGTTCTATTATCGTGTTGTTCACTCATTGATATCTCAATCAATCTTCTGGTGTAATGTTTGACTTAATTGACATTTACGGGATAAGTTGTATGTGTTAATTCTGAATGTTACTAGGTTTTCAAAATGTGCATAACAATTTGAACTTTTGAAGAANAGATATATGAGTATCTGGGAGTAGATCATTGGAATGCAATTATCAGAGTTTTTACTTAAGATTTACCTTGAATTTTGGATTGCACCATACAAGATATCCAGATGTACTTGAAGGGTATAGTAATGCTAATTGGATATCTAATATGAAGGATACAAAATCTACAAGTGTTTTTGTTTTTACACTTGGTGGTACATCTATATCTTGAAAATCCTCTAAGCAAGCGTGTATTTCCAGATCCACGATGGAATCTGAATTTTTTGTCAACTTTTAGAGGATTTTCAAATATAGCCTAAACTGTGCCAACAATTTATATACATTGCGATAGTTAATCTGNTATTCAAATATAGCCTAAACCGTGCCAACAATTTATATACATTGCGATAGTTAATCTGCAATTGGTTGGTAGAGCACAGAGTAACGTGTATAATAGTAAGTCTAGATATATATGTCATAGATATAATACTGTTAGGCAATTGCTCTCAAATGAGATTATTTCAATTGATTATGTAAAATCAAAGGNCCATTCACATTACATCGTGCCTTCAGGCATGGGTTACCCCTAGTTAATAAATAATTAATGATTCAACATTAAAGATAAGTAGGTAAAAAAAGGTTTAAAGGTTGTCGATTTAGAATGAAGTGTTTGCTGAGGTTGGGGATTACTAGAGGAAGAGGTTGAAGAGTAGAAATTCCGGCTTTAGCCGAAGGTTTTGAGTTTATTCACTGGAAGAAAATGAGAGGGCCTGTATCAAAGTCTGATTTGTGTTACGGAGCAGAACTATTTCTTTTAAGGGTTTGAATAAGATTGATTATAATGTTGGCAAATTTTTGTGACGGAGGAGTTGTAGAAGGATTTCAATCCTGGCTCCTTTGCTTATTACATGAATATTCTTGTGCTTGCCATTTGTCATTTTGGCAAGATTACAATTTATGTAGTGAAAGCGGGCTCATAGTTGCATTATCCATCGACATCTAGGAAGTGGGCATGCTTAAAAGAGGATGAAGCCAAGGAATTCAATTGATTCCAGGTCGATGGGTTAGGTAGAAGAACAGTAGAAGGATTTGATTACAATGTTCAATGTTCACTCTGGAATATGTATATCACTCCTCATTTCACTTCAACATGCCCTTTGGAAACCCAAAACGTGCTTATTGTCATGGATACCCACAATCGATTAAAAAAATTGTCAGTGAGCTATTTCACCCCTAAGTTTTATTTTGTATGATGGTGATTGTCAAAAAAAGGGGGAAAAATGGAAAAAGAAAAAAGGAATTATGCCAGAGGGCTATCTATACAGAACATCTTTGCTTCACTCTCCAAGATGTAACTCCTTACCTGATCTCTCAAAATTTGTTGGGTCGCAATCAAATTTTTGACTACTTGTGCATTTTATCATCCTCTGTTGAACTCAAAATTCCTACATATATTTGGAATGTTGAAATCCTACAAATCCTGTTGGTAAATATTTTTAGAACGGCTAGTACTGTGAGCTAAAAGAAAGGAAAGGACATGAGTGGAAATATGTCTTTTAAATGTTGGTTCTGCTGATATGATGCGTTTTTCACTATCCAAATATGTTAGTTCTTGTTCCAGCCCTTGAAATTAGATTATTGACTGGACTGTTTACGTCTGTCATACTAAATTATCAAAGCTACAATCGTGCTATTGCAGATGATTGACGATCGACAGCTGGGATTGTTCGCCAACTTTCTTGGCATTTTTATATTTGTTTTGGCAATTGCTTACCATTATGTGATAGCCGACCCGAAGTATGAAGGCAACTTAAACTTTATGATGGACTGGATTGCAAAGATGCCTGAAAGACAGTCTGCTTGAAGAGAATTAAGATGGTATCGGGAAGACCGGTAATGTTATGGTCATCTCCTTTGGGATGATTAGCCCCATCTATGTCAGTGGCTGGTCCAAGGACAAATGACATATAACTTGTGAACTATATTTGAATGCAATGTAATGTATTTTTGAAGGATGTTAAGGCAATTGCAAGGACTAATTGTCAATCATGGGAAAGACTACATAATTGACACGGTATCATACCAAAAATCATAATTTTTTTAGGAAAAGTTGTAATTTTTTTAGGTACAAGTTATGGTTTGTATAAAATATAATGATCCTAAAATATTGCTATCGATTATGAAAATTACAACTTTCAAATGTGAGGGTATAATTTTTACAATCAGTTGAGGGAAGTTCATGATTGGAGACGATGTTGGATGCGTGTGTTTTATGAGAGATAGGGATCACAAGTATTAGGCTTGTGGCATGTCATTACATTATAGCTTATAATGTAAAGGAAAATAATAATGAAATATTTTCACAGAACACACATTATTTATATAGTTTTCAGAAATTTTCATCGACAACAAACATTCACAAATTCCATCAGAAAATAATGCACAGCAATCAAAACATGGATTTAGTCGAGTTTCCAAATTAAATAACTTCATTATGGAGAAATATTTCTGATTTGAATTTGAAAAACCCGACACAAGGGAGAAAAAAAAAATTAAAAAAAGGAAAAGGCTTAGAACTTATGATTGATTCAATAAAGCCATCATTCTTCTTCCTCCTGGCAGAGTCGCAATGGAACTGGTTCACATCATTTCTTGTGACCGTCTCACACAGCGACTAACTTTCTTCNCGTGTATCAGTAACGGAGTGCAGTTTGTCTGTCTTTGATGTGACATCATTTGCCACACGTCCATCCACTATTGGCTGTGACTACTGTATTCCGGTATGTTCTGACATTACTTGTGTAAGACGAGGTCATGATGAGCAGNTCGGACAGATTAAGAAGATGTATTAGTGATTCTAAATCACCTGAAAAAGCCATCAAAGACACTGTATGATTCAACATCGGAACTACTAAAAATTGTACCTTACCCAAAAAAAAGTTGTACCTGTGTGTGCAAGATCCTGCACAATATAAAAAACGGGAACAGATCTCTCCCCTGGTGAACTTTGAGTGAGCCGGTTGAGTGGCCAAACACGCTGCTTGAGNACGTCAATAGCTTATCTCGGAGTAGAGGAAGCGTCCAGGATGGAGCAACCCTCGGCACCGAGGAAAGGCTCATCTCGGGGACCGAGGGAGGNGGCAACCTGCAAGGTACGGTGGTAACCTGGAACGGCAACAGAAGATCCTGGGAAAGGAAGAACGATCCTGTACGTGTGAAAGGTTTTCCTGGAATAAAGAGGAATAAGTCAGAAGGGTGCCGGAGTGTGTTCCGGCGTATCCCCTCCGACGGTCTAGTCAGTCTTTGAATGAGAGAGAGGAAGAAGAAAACACTGAGAAAGTCTGTTTTGTAGTAGAGAGTTTTTGATTGCATACCCGCTTTGCCTTTTGGGAGGAGTATTTATACCTTAGAAGCTCATGATTGCTGTCAGTGTGGTCAGTAGGTGATCATCAGGCACAGGTAGCGTGTGTATTGATTTGATGAGGAATGTCTTCTCTAATTGACTGCTCGGGGTCCCGAGCAATCAATGCTGAGTCGTCGGGACGCCGACGGTACAATATGCTCCTTTCGGGAAGGATGCAATAAATGCTCTGTAATAGGAGCATTTATTGCCTTTCATATCCGAACCTTACCGCATTGAATGCGGTCTCGTCAACAGAAGGGTGCAATTAATTGTTTGCTTTCCCAAGCCATGTGTCAGTAACGGCGTGCAGTTTGTCTGTCTTTGATGTGACATCATTTGCCACACGTCCATCCCCTATTGGCTGTGACTACTGTATTCCGGTATGTTCTGACATTACTTGTGTAAGACGAGGTCATGATGAGCAGCCTAGATTAGCCTAGGCTAGTGACCTATACGTCAATAGCTTATCTCGGAGTAGAGGAAGCGTCCAGGATGGAGCAACCCTCGGCACCGAGGAAAGGCTCATCTCGGGGACCGAGGGAGGTATGCGACCGAGGTACATGGGTGACCGAGGACACGTGTTGGTTGTACAATATACTGAACGCATGTCCTGTATGAGGGTACCTCGGGGGCGAGGACATTCGTTCGCGATGGCGCTTGGTCCAAGCAACAGTGTTTTGACAAACCCCGAGGACACGTGTCTTNATAAGTCAGAAGGGTGCCGGAGTGTGTTCCGGCGTATCCCCTCCGACGGTCTAGTCAGTCTTTGAATGAGAGAGAGGAAGAAGAAAACACTGAGAAAGATGTATTGTAGTAGAGAGTTTGTGATTTTTTTCCTACCCCTTTGCCTTTTGGGAGGAGTATTTATACCTTAAAAGCTCATGATTGCTGTCAGTGTGGTCAGTAGGTGATCATTAGGCACAGGTTGCGTGTGCATTGATTCTGATGAGGAATATCTTCTCTAATTGACTGCTCGGGGTCCCGAGCAATCAATGCTGAGTCGTCGGGATGCCGACGGTACAATATGCTCCTTTCGGGAAGGATGCAATAAATGCTCTGTAATAGGAGCATTTATTGCCTTTCATATCCGAACCTTACCGCATTGAATGCGGTCTCGTCAACAGAAGAGTGCAATTAATTGTTTGCTTTCCCAAGCCGTGTATCAGTAACGGAGTGCAGTTTGTCTGTCTTTGATGTGACATCATTTGCCACACGTCCATCCACTATTGGCTGTGACTACTGTATTCCGGTATGTTCTGACATTACTTGTGTAAGACGAGGTCATGATGAGCAGCCTAGATTAGCCTAGGCTAGTGACCTATACGTCAATAGCTTATCTCGGAGTAGAGGAAGCGTCCAGGATGGAGCAACCCTCGGCACCGAGGAAAGGCTCATCTCGGGGACCGAGGGAGGTATGCGACCGAGGTACATGGGTGACCGAGGACACGTGTTGGTTGTACAATATACTGAACGCATGTCCTGTATGAGGGTACCTCGGGGGCGAGGACATTCGTTCGCGATGGCGCTTGGTCCAAGCAACAGTGTTTTGACAAACCCCGAGGACACGTGTCTTCATCATAGGGCATTTCAGAAGAGTCCCATCAACTGCCCCCCAGCCTTCGATCTTCTGACACCGAGGACACGCGTCGTAAGGAGACGAAGGGTTTCCCAACTACCACCCGTCCTTCATCATGGCCTCGAGCCGCTTTCCCTGGTTTGGGATGTCGTGCGCATTAAATGCGCCGTTTCGGTCTTCGCGCCCAATGATGAAAACTGCCCCTATATAAAGGGGGTTCCTCTCCGGTTTCCTTCGTTTTGTCATTTCAAACTTACCCCAGAGTACGTCTTCTTGAATCTTCGCCGGAGTTCTTGTTTCTTCTGCCGTCGTCGACTGCCCTTTCTCTCAAAATTTCAGAGCCAGCAGACCCATTGTTGATTCCTGAACTTTCTGGAGGGAGTTGTTTTAAGGTTTTTCCAGAAAAATACTCCATTTTGACGTTCGGGTGAGTTTCAGAACCCTCTTTCTTCTCGTCCTCCTAGCCTTTTTGTTTTCCGATTGACTGGAGGTGTCATCCGGTCGACACGTCGTGATTTAAACCCTCGGGAAACTTCCTCAGGGGTTTTCAAGAACAAATACCCTTTTCTTTCTTTTTTAGAGATGCCTCGTCGTCGCCCTGCTCCCGAGAATCCTCAGGCTGGTCCTTCGGGGTCAGGGAAATACAAGGTGAAAGGCGAGGAGCAGATCGATAGGTTTAGGGCCAAGTACGGCATTCCTCCGTGTGTAGACGTAGTGGATTTTGACCCATCGGTGCACTCATCTACCCTCGGGGCCGAGGATGCCATGCCTTTCTATACCAAGGCCATCATAGAGGGTGGAATTAGGTTTCCTTTACCCCCCTGCTTCTTCAGTTCCTTTCTCGCTTTCGCCTCTTCCCCGGGCAATGCTGCCTTAATGTCTTCCGAATAATCATGGGGGTCTTAGAGCTCAATAGGCGCCTCGGGGTAAATATTGGGCTCAATGATCTCCTTTTCTGTTATTCCCTCCTTAGAGTCATGCCTCACCAACACTTCTACCTCAAAGCCAGGGACCCCTCCATGTACCTTGTAACCCATCTTCCTGACTCGGACAAGGGGTACAAGGACGACATCCTAATCTTCAAGGGATCTTGGCAGAGAGGTGTTGGTCCCGAGTACAATGACTTATTATGCCCTCTGGAATGGAGAACGACAAGTACGTCGGTTCCTTTGGGTTTCTTATTTGTTTCTCGGGACTTCCCATGTTTATGACAACTTTTTTGTTTGTGCAGATATTCCTGCTCGGGAAACAGCTCCTCCTCCTCGGTCGCTGGTGAACTTTGCCGACCTAATCACGGTTTGGAGGTTCACGGGTGACAACGGGTTTGGCCGTGCTACTCATATCCTGTTGAACTATACCCCCGGGTATAAGAAATTCTCGCAGCTTCCGCAACCTTTTGAGCCTTCGCAGTGGTCAGAACTCTTTCGATCAGGTGGCGAGGCTAGAGGTTGAGGAAAATTTGAAGGAAGACCCGGATCGGGCTTCAGAGGCAGAGGTCGAGGGAGTTGCTGAAGAGCTCGGGGTCAGAGAGGACGCTGTTCCTTCGGACGCCGAGGTGGGGACTTCGGGAGGAGACTTGTGGCCTGACTTTCAAGTTCTTCAATCTCTGGACGCCGAGGACGCGCTTGAAGTTGCGATGTCAAGCACTCATCGTATCGACCTCGGGTTCTTGAGGCAGAGGCAGGCCCTTGCAGCCGGGAGAGGTCGAGGAACGACCGGCGGCACCTCTTCAGCGGGGACCAGTTCCACCCCATCATCAAGGGTTCCTGATCGGGGTCAGGTGCGAGATCGGGACCCTCAGGTGGAGGAGGAGAGGAGGGTGAAGCATCGGCACGATGGCCTTAGCCGAGGACCCAGGGCGCCTCCCGCTCAGCAGCAAAGCGGGAGGGGCCGTGGATTACCCCCTGCTCCCCCACAACAGCAGCAGCAGCAACAGCCCCGTCAGCAGCAACAACAGCAGCAGACTACTCTTTCCCTTCCGCCTGCAGTGGAGGCCGCGGAGTGGAATCCCCGAGCCACTGATCACATGAACCGAGTGATCAGGGTCGATGATTCCCTCCTGCAGGATCCTCATGTCGCCCATGCAGTGAGTGAGACACTGCATTTTGAGGCCGACATGGCGGCTCATAGGGGTCGATCAACCAACGTGTTGTCCCGCTCCATGATCCAGAATTCCC